AAAAAACCTTAGTTCATTTTACCTTGAAAAAAATACCTCAAAATTGGATGTATTGCTCAGATTCCGACTAAACGGTTTTGTAACAGTAAAAGATGGTTAGAAAAATCTTAAGTAATACTGCACAAACATCCCTTCTTTCCATTCAAACTTTTATTTTGCTCTTAATCTACTTGCGTTTTGGCTGTGACATTTTTGCCTAAGAGACTGCGGTTAATCTCTCCAGAAATTTAAGAATAAAGGATATTTTAACGAGCATCTGTAGGAATGAAATGGCATGTTGGTTGTTAAGCCCAAGGAGCAAGTTTCTGTGCAAACAAAAGCTAGTTAGGCAGGTCAGTTATGCAAATGGAACAGCTTAAAGAGCGATCTGTTTGCGTTTGTTAGGAGTGGTGGTTTATTGATCAGATTGGATATCTACATCTTAACCTCAAGAAAAATGAAATTGCCCAAGATCATCTGGTGTAAAATAACGTGTATTAGTCAGGAATTAAACCAAGATACTCTGGGTGGACAGAGTCTGAGCAGAATCAGTATCAGAAGAGGTGGTAAATTGTCCCCATTTCCCCCTTCCTCCAAATTTCTTTTGAATAAACGTCGTAAGATGGGAAAACGTCTTTACTTGTGTGAACCACAGTTTATTTCCTCTGTACAAAATAATTGCCTTCAAATATGTATCTTTCTTTGGAGAAAAATGATGAAGTAAAAGCTCTGAAGAAGAAAACACTCTGCGTTCCCAGATGTCCTCGTGGTTAGCCATTCCACGCCCTGATCATACCTGAAGGGGAGAGGTGAATTAACTTGCTCCTTTAGCTCACTGCAGGCTGCTACTAAGTAAGTTAGGGCCAACTGCGGACATCTGCCTCCTCTAAACCACACCAAGAAAATCAACCCCATCCTGTACTGCAGAGGACAGTGGGGAGCAAGAGTTCACCTGGAAACACATCTCAGGGATGTCCTTTTTTTATCCAGGAGAGCACTTCAAGAATCTCCTGTTAACGTGATGGTGACAGTACAGCTTCCTAAGACAATGAACAAGGCCAAAGCTTATAGAGCAGTTTGTTGGGTACTGGCCTCATGTTACTTTTTATTCCGTTATGTTTTGTAGACTTGATAGGTAGAAGTACTTTTGAAAGGCTTTCATTTGGAATTATATTCTATAACGTTGAATTAACAACATGGTATACACAGGATTACATAGTTAAATTGTTCTTCCATTAGTCCATGAGCACTTACAGCAGCAATATAAATGTGATGCACAAGTTTGACCCAGTGAGTGTAAAATATCTTGAATGAAGTTCAGGGCTAGTGTGAATTGATTGAACATTCAATCAGAAGACTGAGAGGGGATCTCATCAACGTCTACAGGTATCTGAAGGGGAGGTGTCGAGAGGATGGGGCCAGACTCTTCTCCATCGTGCCCAGTGACAGGACAAGAGGCAACGGGCACAAACTGAAACACGGGAAGTTCTGTCTGAACAGGAGGACAAACTTGTTGACTGTGAGGGTGACAGAGCACTGGAAGAGGTTGCCCAGAGAGGTAGTGGCGTCTCCTTGCCTGGAGATATTCAAAACCCGTCTGGACGCCATCCTGGGCAATATGCTGTAGAGGACCCTGCTTGAGCAGGGGGGTCGGACTAGATGATCTCCAGAGGCCCCTTCCAACCTCAACCATTCTGTGATTCATAGCCAGCACTAGGTATCGTGCATTCATTTTCATGCCAGGAATGAATTGCCTTATGATTGTGGCAATAGCACAAGTGGGAAGTAGTAAAATAATAATGAATTATCTATCCAAAGTTGCCAGATTGTCCACTGCCATTGGCATGCAGCATAGAGAAACTACAATTCTCTTAATAGATTGTGTGTCCGGATGTGATATTGGGTTTGGCAGCTGACGCTCCTCACCAGAGCAGCAGTCCATATACTGGGCCTAGAACCTTAAGCGTGTTCAGGAACCACAGTTGCCTGGAACTTGATATGTTTGAATGATTTCTCACTGTTAGGTCAATTGTGTAAAAGTAGTGAAAACAGTACAGTCTCACAATGATGTCTATATTATTTATAGAACTGCGGAAATTCCTGAGTTTTATCTTAAGTCACATTTCTGTCTCCCAATACCATGCATGGGCTAAAGCTGCACATTATCTGTAGCAATATGTCCGTGAACTCCCTTTGGCCTATCAGGTGAGAGTGAGACTTGGAAAAATGGTCTGTCTCCCATACTCCCTGCAAGGCTACTACCAACCTGGTCTCAGGAAGGATGCTGAGGAGAAATGAGGAGGTAAGCTACTTCTCCCTACTTCTCCCTTCTTTAGGGACAGAGAGAATTAACACTTTGTCTTCTGAACTGCGGCAGTGACATTGTATTTTCTGTGACTTAAGCTGAGATGACTGCATAAACTTAGGGCCCGTGGCTTTCCTCTCTCTTTCTCCAGTGTCTGCTCCTCACTTTGGAAGACTAAAAAGAATCACACGTATGTAAAAAACAAACCCTGAAATCTCTTGGCCTTTTGGAGTCTCAGTCATCATTTTTAAATGCTCAGAGGTGGCATTACTGGTACAATGAAGTAGCAGCCACATCCCATGGAGCGGAACCACTAGCCTAAAATTGCTTACTATGGACTTGTCCTTCCAGTGAACATTTGGAGGGTTCTTATTAGCAGTCCCTATCCGGGTCATTGCTGCGTCAGTTGCAGCTGTAGTAGTGTAAAGGGACTTTTTGCTGGTATGGCTGTTCCCAGAGCTGAACTGCATCCTTGTGAGAGACTGCAGTGACAGTGACAGTGACTACTTGAACAGAAAAACCACACCCTCAGCTGACATGCTAATATGCTAGACCCAGCCTAAGAAATACCCTCCATTTCAGACCAGAAATGCTCTTGATATAATGGTATACCATGATATATATATATATCATGTATATATGGTATACCATCAGCTCTGAGATGAGGCATGGAACGGATACCACTTTTTATAATGCAATGAGACCTGTAGATGATGGTGGGAAGAGGACACTATACAAATTCCATTTTTTGCTTTGTCCATGTGAGGGCTGCAGAGCAAATAGGTTTTTTAAAGCCTAATCAGTGAATAAATAGGAATTAACTAAAAGACAATTTTGTTGCTTTCTCCACTACTCAGCAGTATCACCTCGTAAGGAAACTAGTAGATATATAAAGAGCAGAAATGTGTGTATCCACGTAGAAATTACCAGTGCTCTAGAAACGGGTCCATTTAGGGGCTGTTTCATAGCCAGGAAAGTTTCAGGGTGACTGAACCTGTATTAGCCATTTCTGCTGGTCAATTACAGCGACTATAGTCACATGCAGATGGATACAAATGCAGCCATAGTTTATTTGTGGGTGCTGAACTGCAGCTGTAGAAATTACAGTCCCTTTTTAAGCCATAAAGGGTTACACTGTGCATAATATGTATTGCACAATGTATGTTCTGTATGCTTATGAACAGTTTATAAAGAGAATAAAAAACTAGAGGCATGTTACAGGAATTAGTAATATGCCTCATAGGGGGCCATAATAATATTATCTGAGGAATTATATAGGGCTACAAGCCATGCTATGATCTGCTGAAATTTCAGATTGTAATGGTCAATTAACTACGAAACCACCTCATACTCGTTATTGGCTGCACAGAACAATTTTGGAGTTACCTTAGCACAGAAAGTGTGTTAAATGCTGAGAATAATTATAACAAAGTTTTCCTCAAAAATTAGCTAACTGAAAGAGCAGCTCATTAAGAAAGTATTTCTTAATGGGGATACTTGGAGTGGCTTCTAAAGGAAGCTTCTAAAGTGTTAAGGGTCACTAAATTTTAGTTTACCCTCCAATAAGCTTGCTCATGAGGCATTAGTTCAATCAAGCAATATGGTTTGCAACCCAAAGCCCCAACTTGTTCCTCAAGGTTCAGTAGGTTTTTCCTATACAAATGCTTACCATCAGCTCTCCAGAACAGATACATACACCTCTTTGTTGCAGCAGGAAGAAGATGCCTCCAGAGCACAAATAATTAACTCTTGCAATAATTTCCTGATGGCAGAATACGGCTTTCTCTGTTATGATCTGAAATGACAAAAGAGCAAGACCCTGTGGTTTTCGTTATCCTGTGTTAGAGCAGTAGAACTGAATGTAAGAGAATATGCAGATTTAATTCTACTGTAAAGCAAAAAAGCAAGAAACATTAAAATTACAGGAAGTTCAAAACAGTGAGAGAGCTGTTCCAACTTGGGCAGTTTTATACTGCCACCTCCTAGAAATAGCTAGTAGCCTTGATACTGCCATTTTCATGAAGGCAGTAAATCCCACAGCAAATGAGTAGGGGTAGGACCTACTTCGTGATGTCAAATGTCGGGGATCCTTGACTCTCATGTTCCTGATGAGGGTGTAGCAACAGCAATTGCAAAATTGTACTTTGTTAACCTCTATGATGTCTAAAATCCTGGTACTGTTGTTGGGGTTTCGTTTTTAGTTCAGTGGGACAACCATCTTATGCCGAGAATTTTAAGGAGAAGTGTGTTTTTAAGCCTGACCACAGTGCATTGAATGTATATGCAATAAGGCTTTATTGAGGAATTAGAGAGCTCGAGAGGCCAAGTGCACATGACCTGTGCACTCAGACAGACATGTGCTTGTGTTGCTGTACACAGGCCTGGAGACTGGCTGGCAGGACAGAAGATCTTAGAAGGGTCACGGTCCTTGAAGCAGGCAGCGTGCTTGGAGCCTTGAGTCAGTGTGCAGCAAGACGGTTCCTTGGTGATCCAGTGACGACGATCATTTCTCAGCAGCAGTCTCTCTCCGCTATCAAGATCTGATCGTCTTGTAACATCTTTTTGTTTCACAGCAGACTGTCCGTCTTTGGCCTCCATGCCTTGGACTATATGCTGTGCAGTGCAGGCAGGGGTTAACTTCCCCAGCCCACGTTAGGTGCTTTATCCTGTTGTTCAACTGCTTTCTTGCTTACTGTCTCCTTGTTCTCCTTGTTATGTGCAAAGCAGTTTTTCCCAGCTCTTAAGGTTGTATTCCTTCAGTAACCAATAGCTGACCATCAGTGAGATGTTTACAGTCTTGTGGCCTCTGTTTTCAGCCTGTGCCCATATTTTCAAGGTCTTTGCTATTATCCCACACTTACACTCCTCATCATAACAAGAGACACCTGGTACCCAGCTCCAGTTCACACAGCAAATTCGCACAAGCTGATAACAAGCCTAACAGCCCACCAGTCCTGTGGCCTTGCAAAGTTAGCATTAAGCCTCTCACTGGCAATGACAATATTGTTTTACCGGGCCGCTAGACAACAGTCACTGGTGGTATACCTCATTCTGGTGACAGGAAGAAACTGTTTTCTCTAGATTTTCTTTATTTCAGTGCCTCATCTGAACTTAGATTCCACCCAAGCTTTGACTAGTCAAGACTGCCAGAATGCTTCTCTTTATGCTCTGCACACCTTTCTCTTGCCAGCTTTAATGCCATGTGTATTTTGAATGAGTGGATACTTGCTAGCAGTTGAGTGAATTGTACTTTCTGGAAGCAGATGGACATAGTCTGTCACAAGATTTCAAAGACTTTCAATGACTGTGAGCCAGGGATAAGTGAGACTGGCTGATACTGGGCCAGTGGACTGGGGGGAACGGGATTTAGACTGGATGAGGAGCCAAGTCTGATTGAAAGGTGTTGGAGTGGGGAACCAGCACATGAGTCAAAAGAGAAAGACTGCTTTGGTGAGAAGGGAGAGGGCTGGAAATAGCAGGTCAAGGGACTGAACCATGAAATTTGAAGAGCTAGTCCTTACTGGGATCAGTAAGATGACACAAATGGGACTGGGAATAAGCAACCTGCATGAGAAAAAGGCAGAGGAGGGGCACAATGAAGGATGTGGAAAAGATGATGTTAAACGTGGAAAAATGACAGGAGAAAAGGTCTGTGATCCCCTAGAGCACATTCCAAAACTGGTAAAGAGCTTGAATCTAACCAGGCCTTCAACATATTTTCTCCCTCCCACACTACACAGCTTCCAATGCTGTGCATATCACTGGGACAGACTGCTATTTGATTTGATAACGGTATACACAAAGAACTATAAAAACTGAAAAGATAAGGGCTCCCCAGTTTGAGATTGCTTTTCAGCCCTCATTATTCCTTCTTTTAGCATAATCATTATAGAATACTCAGCAAATGACGCCTCCTCTCTCCAGCCAGGGATCCTGCCCCAACTTGTACCAGGTGTAGTGGAAGAGATTGTCCGAGAGTCCTTTAGAACTCTTTAGGCAGACACTGAATAAAGTTTCTGGAACAGAAAAGCTGGTCTCTAAGCTGAGTCAGTTATATGATTCCCACTGCCTTTGCCACAGAGCTGCTGGGTGATGCTGCACAAACTACTGAAACAAGCTTTTCTTATGTAATTGCCGATTTGCATTCCTCATTTTATGGCCCTGTGATTTGAGGCATTGTGATTTAATTTACGGAAGCGCTGAATTCTTGCAGCTACAAATCCATGGCAGAAGTGGCTCAAACCAATACAAGGTTTATAAAATACCTGGTCTTTGGCATCTCTAAATGGGCATTCAGAATAAATATACACTGCCCACTGTAATCTCATTGGGGAGACCTCACGTAATATCATGATCCTGCCCTTTACCTGTCGCTTCTTTCCTGAAAGATCCACCCTTGATGTCTAATTCCTTACCCAAAACTGTATAACACGTGGTCTGATAATCTTGTGCTCCCCAGGCTCTGCTATCACAGTATTGCTGTATCTCTATGTGTCTATGTATGCGTTCTTCTGTATGTCTTTGAAGTATCTTGTCTCTGTCTTTGCAAACCTGCCTCTCGTTACCACTCCTCCCTGGTCTCTTGTCATTTTACTTCCTACCTTTTTGCTCTGGCAGTCTGTCCCTCTGCTCTGTTCATCTTTGTGTATCTCCACTTCCCTTAAGCATGGAGAATCTAATCTCTCAGTAGAGAGCCTCTACCCTCTGCTTACTCAGATTCTTCTTGAACACTAGGCAGTGCTGTGGTAATTAGATACAGCTGAAACAGCAAAAAAATGTGGCAACACTGCATGAAATTAGGGAGTCTGTGTACAAACCACCTATTACTTTGCTGTGTTTTACTTTTCTTTCTTTACCTCCTGTCACTGGGCGTTGTTTGGAACAGCAACGGTACCTTGTATGTTTATAACGTGCCTAACGCATTGAAGATGCTACCAGCAGCATCTCCTCTCTGCTCTATCCAGGTGGATTCACTTGGAAACAAATCAGGATGGGAAACTGAAAGCAACTCAGGTTTGCTGTGGTGGCACAGTCCTGGTAGCAGAAGACATGCTTGTCAATACGTATACGAAGTAGTGGTGAGATCCTTCAAGACTGACTAGACCTCCAAGCTGGCTGGTCAGTTGATGCTTCCCCAGGAGTCTGTTTCATGAAACAAAACTTCGCTCCTCCTCCTGGAGATCAGGACTACCTGTTTCAGGGAACTGAACGAGATACTCAAAGACTAGTTTCTCCTGGGTGTTGCAGCAGTAAACGTCAGTCTCTAGTTTGATCCTGCCTGAATGATCCTTGCCCTCCTCTCTTCCAAGACGGGCAGAGTGGACAGCTGGTGTGTTCAGGCGGTTAATACCTGTAGGATTTATAGGCTGCAGCTTAGCTTCAACTCCAGCTCTGTCAGAAAGAGGTCAACTGCTGCAGCATCCATACTGTCATCTTTCAGTCTAGTTAGAAAACATTAGCCTCCTGTAACTGAAAAACAAGTTTTTTTCTAACTTGTCCCTGTAGCTTGAAGGATCCCTAGTCATTAGCAGGTTAAGGAAATCTATTCAGTGATTTCAATGAGCTTGAACCAGACCCTGGTCATTATGTGCCCACCTTTCTTATTGCTGTAACTCTCAGCTCTTGTACAACGCGGCTCTTAGAGAGATTTCTTGCGGTTTGGTTAGATGTTGTTAGGTGTCCAGATGTCATTCATACAATGTCTGTCTCATCTGCCTACTGAAACAGTTACCAGAGAATTGCAAGGACTGGTTTTAACATTTTCTTCTCTGCTCTGGAAACACATACTCTACTGAATGGATCATTTCCTAAATCAAAAACCTTTTGAAATAGCCAGTAACAATCCCACTATTCTGATGCAGTGATTTCCATAATGTTGTACATACACAACTGCGATCTCACGTTTTGGCAAATGCTTGAAAAATTTACTTCTTCACTTGCTTTAAAAAAGAAAAGCCAAACACCTTTTAGAACAACTTTTACAGTAGGGGACAGTACACTTAGGAATGGGAATTATACGCCATTGTGCTCCCAGAAATTGTGGAGAAACTGAACCAGCCTGAAGGTCTTCTGAAGTCTGATGGTCCTTGGTCTGTCCATTATGGGTTATTCATTTATTGTTCCTGTCCAGAACTGTCCTATCAGTGTGACATAGCAACAGAGCACTACGCGTGAATTACAAGGGGCACCACTGCTATAGTCTATAGCGGCCCCTAAGCAGTGACATCCTCCTTCAGAAAAAAAGAGATTATATTGACTACTTTTTCGGATAGGAAAGCAGGAACAAATGGAATCCTTTTGACAGTGCAGTATTTCAAGCATCTGAACTCTAGGTAGCGTTCAAATTGTGTAGCTCATCATCCAACCAGATCTAATAACACTATTTTTATTTGCCTCTGAAGTCAGTGGTTAACGTGACCCATTCTGATGGAACTGAGATAACAATTACCTTGCAGTCAAACACAAATTTATAATTCTGCTTATATTTCATATTCCTTCTTCCCTATTCTGCAATGTTAGAGACGAGCGAGAAACCAGAATTAGTTTTAATTTGAAATCACAACATTCTGTTTGTGTTATTAAGTCATCAGAAGTCCCCATAGGGCCAAGAGGTACTGGAAGAGCAAATGAGGAAGTTGGTAAGTTGTCACCCAGCATTCACTCTTCCCTAACAGTTAAAGGGACTCCACTGCTGTTTGCTGTAATGAAGGAGCAGTGATGAAAACGCATATGGAAGAGTTCTAGTATAACCAATTATGGGACAACGCCAGCGAGTGTTTCTGTGTGGATACGGAATACGCTTTGTGATGCTGTGTCATTTTTATATGCAGTCTTCTGTTCTGAATGGCAGGGCTGCTTCCTATGAGCTATCGTTCTTTACTCTTGAACTTTTCTGTGGCTGGTCAAGATTAATGAAAATAAATAACCACGCTATGCATTTTTTACTAGGAGATAAAAGATAGAATTCAGGAAAATCCAGCTTTCCCACCAAGCTACATTCTGAGTTTTCACAGAAGAAACCAGGCATATGTTTTAGTTCACTACATGAGGTGGGAGGTGCTTTCTGTTCTGCTGGATGAGTTTCGACTACCCTGCTCTTTTTTTTTTCTCTCTTAGCAAATGATATTCACAGTGGAGGAGGGGTGTAACCAAAAATGCAGTTCATCTCATTGAGCCAATTCATGTAGGAAAGAACTGACTTCCAGAGTTAGGCTTTTCTCTGAATTTGGCCACCTTCAGAATCTTGTCTGAATGGGATTATAACATAAACCTGGACTGTTTATCTCTAATACACCATGAAACATGCCCAAAGGCTTAGAGGCAACATGCCTATACTCTTAAGTGTAGTTGAACGAAGACCTCTTGCAGCAACAGCACGACTTAAGAGCCCAGGGCATCATCCTGCCCCTTCTCAGTCATCCTTTTTCTCTCCCCTTACTGTCGACCATGTTAATAAACTGTTTGCAAATCTGTGTGATAAGCCAGATACGGAAAGGGAACTGAGTTAAAAATAATGTAGCTGAAAAACTTGGGTGGGATAGGGGCTGCTTAAGTCACACTGTCACGCAAACAAACACTTTTGTCAGACTGTAACATGCAATATATTGTACAGATGTAATTTGAAATTACACTAAATTTAACCTTTCCAGATAGAAATTATACAACACTGCAACACAAAACACTGATGCTTTTAGTTACTCATTCTGCAGGTTCAGATTCATCTCTGAGGTGCTAATGGATTAATATTGTATTAGCATTTATGCTGGAATAATAGCTTCTGTCTGCCCCACTCTTGTTTTAGGCAAGATTCAGGACAGACTTGCGTATTTTGGGCATGAAGCCTGTTGGAAAAGGGAGCTAATTGAGCTCTAGCCCAGCTTAGCACTGGTGCCTAAAGTAGATGAAGCCTGTAGGCCGCAGGACTGAATTGAAATGAGCTCGAGAGACATTGCTGAGGATGTGACTGCAAACCCAGCTAGAACCAGCCCTCAAGGACACAGCACACAATGGACAGAGGTAACGGTTAACCTTCAGATAAGATAAGGCATGATGAAGCAGGAACAGAGCAACTGTCCCGGGATGCAGACATGAACCAGTCAAGAGGAAAGAGATCACCAACTCAGTAAAGAAGAGTGGAAGAGACTGTCACAGGCAGGTGGGGAAATAAGACCGTAAGGAGTATAAATACCCCAGAATTTCTCTGTTCAGGGTCCCTCCCCGGCGACAGCCAGCTCGAGCTGTTACTTTACTGTACCGTCATTTAAATAAATATTTAATTTCACTGCTAGACATACGTGAGACTCTGCTCCTCGGAAACCTAGGGTCAAACTATTTCCATAACAAAGCCGCCACAAAAATACCAAGCGAGTACAGCACTGCTTCACTTAAACTGAGTAATCTGAGGGCAGCACAATGGTGTGCCAGTTTCTGACAGAGACCGAAAGCAGACTGTGGCTTCTTGATCCAGAAACGGAAATCAGTGGGTCACCTGAGCGTGATGGTCACAAGCACCTGCAGAGCGCTGCGCTCGCCTTCAGCCCGCCCCAAGCTGTGCTTCGGCACAGGTCTGGCCCACGTGGCAGCCGCCTGACAGACACGGCAGCTGGGCCCCTGCAGACACGCAGGGCACATCCCTGCTCTTCCTCCTGCCTGGGAACACAAAGGAGCGTTACAGACCCCCATGGGCACCCTGCAGCCCCCCCCACGGCGCGCACAACTGCCCCCCAGCCCCAGTGCAGCTCACAGCCGTCCCACGAATCCCCCCACACCACGGCACAAACAACCATCCCCACGCCCTCCCCCAGCACAGACAACTACCCCCCACCCCCCCC